CTATTAATCAAAACAGAATTTTCGAAGGCCGTTCGGCTTTTATGATGCCAATTAGGAAAAATGCATCCTTTTCGTGGAAAAATGTGAACTGCCTTCAAGTGGGTCTGCTGTTGGTGGATTACCACGAGGATGGATCACCACGAGGGTGGATCACCACGAGGGTGGATCACCACGAGGGTGGATCACCACGAGGGTGGATCACCACGAGGGTGGATCACCACGAGGGTGGATCACCACGAGGGTGGATCACCACGACGGCGGTCTCGGTTAAGCGGAAACACAGACTGCAACCGGATAGGGGGCGGCCCGGCCGCGGGACGCCAGCAGTCTGATTCCCAACACGCGTCGCTCTGTCTCTCTCGCACTCATGGAGCGTCCGGTGGTGCGGGAGAGACAGAGTGACGCCAGTGGCCAGGTCAGGGTGATGAGGCGTGGTCCCTGTTAGCGGTCCAATCGGCAAAGCTCTCCCTCTTTAGAGCTTCTTTCTCGATCGGCGTGGCGGGGCGTGGCGGGGCAGGGCAGGGCGTGCGCCGGTGGCCGGCGGGTGGGGCGTGGTGGGGCGTCTGGGTTTTGGTTTTTGTGGCGTGGGGGGCGTGGGGGGCGTGGCGGGGCTTGGCGAGGCGTGGCGGGCCTCCTCGATAATCAGATAGAAACCGAATGCGCCCGGCCGGCCCGGCAGCACAGCCCCTGATGGGGCCTTCTCCTGCCCGTAGCACGATGCGAAAGGGATCGTCCGCATATTACGTAATAACTTTTGCCGGATGGGAGACGGACGCGTCATCCCGCCCCTTGAGAGAGAGAGAGAGAGAGAGAGAGAGAGAGAGAGAGAGAGAGAGAGAGAGAGAGAGAGAGAGAGAGAGAGAGAGAGAGAGAGCACGAAGCCACGGGCGCGCGCCGGCCGGCCCTCCTTCTACCCGTCTCCAGTGTTATAAGACGATCTACATCTATTTCCTCTCTGAACGGAGCAGTCTGAAGGCCGCCCCACCCCAAGGAGTCCATGGAGGAGCGATAAATGGGCTCCTTTGCCTCGCCTGCACTGCCGCTTGCCTACACGAAGGGATGAATGCCGCTCGGCAAACATTACACATGATCCAGCATGCCGTAAAAAAGGGGAAAAAATAAAAAATGGAGAAAAGGTTGAAAAATAAAGCTTAGTTTCCGAGAGGCCTCTGCGGCCGTGCCACCTGCCTTCCTGAATTATAGGCGCTCCTCTGAGGGTGCGCTCGCAAGGACGACTCCAAGGCCGAGGACGCCGTGTAGTTACTCACTTTTCACACTGAGGAGGGCTCCGCTCGCCAGTCACGCGGTCAACATTCCCTTTCCCAAGCGAAAGGGAGGACCAAAAAATGATGAGAAGAAACATTTCATCAACATCAAGCTTGGCGGTGTGGTCTGATGTTAGTCTGTCCACAGTCCCCCTGAGCAGCGCGCCCCTGCGCCTGTAAAGGCAAGCCTTTCATTCGACGAAGACGTCGCGGTGTAGCGGACGAGGTTTACCTGAGATGTGCCACCTTTAGAATCTGTGTGTGAGTGTGTTTTTTGTGAGTCTTTTTTTCTTCTCTTTTCTCGCTCTATAGGCGGAGTACAATTTTCCTCAGTTTGCAGACTTCACCGGCCTCCTAGAGGTGAACGAGGAAAACAGGGGGCGTGGCGGGGCGGGGAAATTTCTAATATAAGTCCAGCTGGGCGAGGGGATTTGAGGCCCCGGCAGGGCGAGGCAGGGCGAGGCAGGGCGAGGCAGAGGCGAGCCCAGGGTCCGCTCTGGACGGCCTGCCGGCCTGCCCCTCCGGACCGCCGTGCCGCCCTGCTGCCCGCCGTGTACACCGAGACCTTCTTCTTTGAGCAGGGACGTGAAAAGAAGAGCATGCCTTATTGTTGGCACGGCCCGGCAAAAACTGATGAATCATCCACGTGATGGAGTCCGCCTGTCTGTCTGTCTGTCCGCCTGTCTGTCTGTCGATGATTTTCGCGACCCTTGAGAGTGCGTTAGAGAGAGCGAGAGTGTGTGTTGCGAGAGAGAGAGCGTGTCACACCAGTGAGCCACTGCCACACGGCCTGCATTCTCGTCGCAAGCTCGGGGAGCCGCATGAATGTTGGATGCGGCCTGCGCTGCGGTCGGCAAGGCGTGGGCCGCAAATAAAAGCGAAAACGCGACTACATTCTGGCGGCGGCGCTCGCTCTGTCTCTCTCGCACCCCTGGGGGACTGCGGGACGAATGAGTGAGAGAGAGAGAGAGAGAGAGAGAGAGAGAGAGAGAGAGAGAGAGAGAGAGAGAGAGAGAGAGAGAGAGAGAGAGAGAGAGAGAGAGAGAGAGACCGCCCGCTGCGTTGCTGCGTGTGACGGCGCCACAGCCGCGCGGACTCGGCGGCCCGCCCCATATCGGCCCGTCGGTCGGCCACCGTCGGCCCACTGCAAGTCCGAGCCGTGCTCTGTCTCCCTCGCACCCCAGCGGGGCGTGCCGTGGGTGCGAGAGAGACAGAGCGACGAGAGCATTGTTCTGAATCGGCCCGCTGGCTTCGTTGATGACGCCCCATATAAAGCCCACCGCCAGGGCCAGGTGCGGGAACAGCCCGGCCTGCCCAGCCTGCGCGGCCCCAATCAGTTTACACCAGCCCGGCCCTCGGCCCGGCCAGCAGGTAGGTAGGACTCACGACGACAATGTCCTTTCTACTTTTGGCATGTCCATTACACAAAGATAGCAAAAAAAAACTTGAAAACAAAAACGGATTGATTGTTTAAAAAACAAGAAAAGTGTGAGAGAAAGGAAAAGCAGCGCTTTGTTTCGGCGAGTGGTGGCGGTAATGACCAAGGCGCCAACACGCGGCCGGGCGCGGCCAGGCGCGTGCACACACTTTGCGGCCACCAGCCGCACCGCGCCACACCGTGCCGCCGTCCGTTGCGCGCCGTCATCTCCAACTTTTGCTTTTGCGCGCGAAAACTTTGTCTCTCTCTCGTCGCTTTAGAGGACGGCTGCTGATGTCCGCGCGTCGCTGTGATGGGCCACACGCCACCGGCACCACCGGCGCCACCGTCCCGCTTGCCCGCAGTGCACGCTCGAAAACTAAGCTCCAGGAACAAACAAAACAAACAAAAAAAAAAACGAAAAACGAAAAGGGAACCCCTGGCTCGATTGTCTTCCCCCGTGGATCCCGATCCTCTACTCCACATCCCGATCCCCTCCTCCGCCCTCCGCACAGTGGGCCAGAAGATCGGAGGAGGCGGCCAAAACTCCGGACGCGTTTTGGGCCCCTGAGCCGCTAAACGCGACTTGAACCGAACGTGTGACCCCGCCAATGGATTGCTCTCCGAGCGAGGAATCCATTGGTGGGGTCACACGTTCGGTTCGAGTCCCATTCAGCGACTGTGGAGCTGAAAACGCATTTAGAATTTCGGCCGCCTCCACGGTCCTCTGGCCCACTGTAGTCCGGGCTCTACCCTTTGCCCTTCCGTCCTATCGGGGCCCTGGGCGGCCCTGGGCGGCCCTTGGCCTTGCTCTTATCTGCTCCAGCCACTCCTTGCACCTGTCCAACGCTCCACGCCCCCTCGGCCCGACTGGCTTTGTGGTCCATTCCAGGCCCGTCCTCCAGTGCCGTCCTCCAGGACTGTCCTCCAGGACTGTCCTCCAGGACTGTCCTCCAGGACCACCCTCCAGACCCGCCCCAGAGTCGGCCGCCAGCACCACCCCAGCTCCAGGTGCAAAGCGGCTGGATCAGCATCTCAATACCATGACTGGCAGTGCCTGGCCGTCTCCGCGCGATTCCATGACGCAGCCCGAGGCGCTCCGGAGGCAGCGCGGCTCAGCCGGAGGAGACATCGTTATCGAGAGATAGGCACCACTCACTTCGGTAGTCACGGGGACCAGCTGCGCTGAGCTGCGTCTGCCCGCCCCGGCCTCGAGCCCGGCCTGCCTCGGCCCACCGCGCCGCCATCTGGCCTGGGGCGGGCCGCTGGGGCAATCGGCCCGCAAAGTGGCACACATCGGTCCGTGTTCAGCCAGCTTTCCCATGTTCTCGTTTACCAAATCTTTTTGTCTCGCGCACGCCACGCCTGGCACAACTTGGTTTGAAAATCCGATTTCTTGTCCTTCATAAGGTCGAAAACGGGTCGAGAGATTGACACTTTTAAAATATATATTTCCGGTGTGGTGGGCGGGCACGGCGACGCGTCCCGATCGTTCATTTTTCCCCATCACCGCAGTGACGTTCCGTCCGTGTGGCGGCCGGGGACCGCGTTCCCGAGTCCCCGACGCACAGTGGGCCAGAAGACCGGCGGAGGCGGCCAAAACTCTAGACGCGTTTTGAGCTCCAGAGTCGCTAAGTGGGACTCGAACCGAACGTGTGACCCCACCAATGGACTGCTCTCCGAACGAGGAATCCATTGGTGGGGTCACGTTTGGTTCGAGTCTTGTTTAGCGACTCTGGAGTTCAAAACGCGTCTGGAGTTTTGGCCGCCTCCACCGGTCTTCTGGCCCACTGTGCGGCACTGGCCACGCCACTGGCAGTGTCGGGGAGGTCGGAGTGATGACCCGGTCGTAACTTGGGGACTAACCGACAGGCCGAGGCGAGGCAGGCTGAGGCAGGCCAGGGCAGCGCAATTACAAATGCAGGTCGACCGGCCCAACGGGGGTCGTGAAAACGTGACGACGGTATCTCTGCCTCTAGTTAGTCCCAGGTTCAAAAAACAAAAACTCAGAACAAAATAAATCGAATGAAGACCGAGGAAGTTGGCAAGTTGAAAGTGACTGGATTGTTTCGGGGCGTTTCAAAATGCGGTCCGTCCCGAACTGTTCCAGGATGGGCGGCAACTCGGCCTCGGCTCTCTCACAGCGACAGTCCTCGTCGGGTGGCGCGGCCGAGTCTAGTTCCGGTGGCGACGCGCCCTCACCGTCGTCCCCGCCGCCGACCGCCCCCGCGGGCCGCAGCCTCGGCGCCGACGGTCCCCAGGGCGGCCCCCAGGGCGGCCAGACCGCGCCCAGCGTCGCCAAGCAGCGCCAGTCCTCCATGGCGCTCCCCGGCGGCTCGGGCGGCGAGCGCCGACGGCAGATGTCGCTCGCCGAGCCGGGCGCCAGGGCCGCCGCCAGGCCCTCCGTCGGCGGCGACCGCGCGGGCCGCCTCTCGCTCATCCCGGGCCGCGGCCGCCAGGCCTCCCTCGTCGAGGCCCTGGGCTGCGTCGGCCAGCCCGAGGACGACGAGGAGGACGCCGAGCCGCCGCCCGACCTCACCGACCACGAGAAGGAGCTGCTCACCACGTCCTGGAAGGAGATAGAGAACAACGTGGCCCAGGTCGGCGTCATCACGTTCATCAGGTGAGTCCAGGGTTCGATCCCCGGCCGTCGCCGTTTTCGCGTTCCCCACGGCGGCGCGTTTTCCTGCTCGTGTCCCACCGGGGGCCCCGAACCACCGGGCCACCGCGCCACCCAGCGGGGACGCTTGCTTTTGTGCGTTGACTCGCTGATAGCGCCCCCTCCCCCTCCCCCGCCGCGAAGGGCCCCGGAGCGACACCAATATCGCGCCCTCAGCGCTTTACAGACGGCCGGCCGCACGCCGCCAGGCCGCCAGCCAGGCAGCCAGGCAGGCAGCCAGGCAGACCGAGCAGCCAGCCAGCCGGCCTCAGCCCGCCGACTACCATCACCATCATGCAGTTCCCCCTCCCCGTCCCGTCGGCTTGTCGCGAGTCCCGCCAAAGTATCGTTCGTCAGCCCGGCGGCCGCCAGGGCCACCAGGGCAGCCGGCTCTGGCGCGAGATTCGATTCTAATGGTGGCCCCAACCCCGACCCCGACCCCAACCCCCACTGACTGCTTCCACACGAGCTGCCCACCCCGCGCCATTTATCACGGTGAAGAGGTTGGGGGGGGGGGGGCGTCACGATCCAACCGCGTTTTCTATCTCATTTGATTCCGGTGTTTCCATTCGCGGCGGTCCGGTCTTCCGCCGCGCCGGCCACAGTGTGAGGCTATCTTCGTCGCTATCTTCGTCGCACCCGCGCGGGCCGCGGCGACACAGTGTGCTGTCTCTGTCACACGCGCGGGAAAAACTGAAATACGTCGGCGCGCGCTATCTGGCGACCGTTTCCGGAGCGCAAGCACCGCCGCACAGTGGGCCAGAAGACCGGCGCAAGCGGCCAAAACTCTAAACGCGTTTTGAGCTCTAGAGTCGCTAAGCAGGACTCGAACCGCACGTGTGACCCAACCAATGGATTCCTCGTTCGGAGAGCAATCCATTGGTGGGGTCACACGTTCCGTTCGAGTCCCATTTAGCGACTCTGGAGCTCAAAACGCGTCTCGAGTTTGGGCCGCCTTTGGCCCACTGTGCACCCTGGCTCTGTCACTCTCCGTCTCTCTCGCACCCTCCCGAGACACCCCGTGAATGCGAGGGAGACAGAGAAAGCGCCTGCCCGGCAGGCAAGCGCGCGACAACGCAGCGCGGCGTGTTGCCTAGCCGACGGTCAGCGGGCGCTTCGACGGTCCGGCGCCAACGCGACAAAAATTAAAGCGCACCGCCGCAGGACGGAGACTTGCCGGCAAAATTCCATCGCCTTCCCGAGAAACCGACACCTGCTCCTTCTTTATTCCCAGGCGGGCCAGCCTCCCCCTCCCTTGGCCCTGCCGGCGCCCCTCCTTCAGATTTACACAGGCTGCCGTATCCTCAGAGTTATGAGTGTTGCCAACAGAGCACGCCGAAAATCAAATTTATAGAGTGTATTGAACGAGCGCAGGGCCTGGCTCTGGCCGGGGTGGGAGGAGGCACTCAGCAATATCGGCGAGTAACGCGACGCAGGTCTTTCATTCCCCTTCTTGGGTCCCTTTCGGGCGCACAGTGGGCCAGAGGACCGGTGGGGGCGGCCAAAACCCTAGACGCGTTTTGAGCTCCAATGTCGCTAAGTGGGACTCAAACCGAACGAAAGACCCCACCAATGGATGGATTGCTCTCCGAACGAGGAATCCATTGGTGGGGTGACACGCTCGGTTCGAGTCCTGCTTGGCGACTCTGGAGCTCAAAACGCGTCCGGAGTTTTGGCCGCCTCCACACCGGTCTTCTGGCCCACTCTGAAGCGGCCTGCCTGCCTCGGCGTGCCATGCCATGCCGTGCCAACCTTTGAGACGTGTAGATTAACAAGCATAGCCATATCGCGATTGGTTCGTCGCCACGACTTTTTCTTTTCTCCTGCACCGTAAAACCAGCATCGTTCTTTGCCTCGCTCTCGCTTCGAGTTCCGCGTATTGTCTTTGAGTGGGACGCCGCGCTAGTCAAACGGTGCGGTTGCTCGGCTCGGCTGTGTTATTCTCTCGTTTCCCTCCTCTCTCCCGCTTCTCTCTCGCTCTCTCACCTCTCTGTCTTCTCTCTCGCTCTCTCCCGCAGTCGCGGTGATTGTGGTTCCACACGAAGTCTCGGCACGGAGGCTGACGCCGTCCTGTCGGGAAAAGAAACAGAACGAAACACTGTCAGTCACACATTTTTTCACTCAAATCTTTTATAAGTATTAGTGGGATTGATTTTTTCGTGGTGTTTTCTCCATCCATACCTCACCTCATCAAAACAAATTCGACTGCATCATTTCCATCCTGATTTCTGTAGTTTCGTTTGCGCTGCACCAGCAGGTAGTCTTTTTCCCCCTTCCGTACCGAAGTTTTAAAAAATATGAAGGCAAGTTCGGAATGGAGTTCTGAGAACAATAATAGCCTTTTTCGACGACAGAGAGAGACCAGCGGGACGCCAAACTAACTCCAATTACATTAATATCTTAAAACTAGAAACTAGAGTCAGAAGCCGACAACCTGGCCGGCGCCCAGCACTGCCCGACAAAGGGGCGAAGGACGTTCATTCCGAGAAATAGACAAAGGCTACCTCCAAATTATTCAGAGACGCCATTTTTGCTGCCCGGCAGAAACGTATTGAAATGTCGCGCCAAAAACAGAGTCGAAAACAAGTTTAAAAATTGCGTTGTTTATTTCATATCAAGAGACGGCACCGCCCTTCTCATTGCCATGAAAGATGCCAGGGAGTGACCCAATTTTTTTCTCAGTGTAGTGCTAATTAGAACGGGCGATGAAAGGATGCGCGCGAAAGGAGATCACGCCTCTTTGAAGACTGGCGATGATAAGCCCGCTCCTCGGTCAAGAAAGCCTCGTCCAAGAAAGCCTCGTTCGAGGAAGCCGCCTCAGCTCGGGAGACTCGAAGGCGACCGGATCAGCGGGACTCCATCGCGTTTTAAAGGGGGCCCAAAAAAGGGGACCAAGTTGTAGAGGGGCGCGGGAAGAGGCTCCGAGAAACGGAAATCGCGCCTCATCGAAATTCGCCCTGAAACTGAAAGCCTCTTCCAGGAGTCCAGCGACAAGGTTATTTAAATTGGAAGTTATGTCCTTTTGTGAAGAAAAGCCGGCTGGTTCCTCGTTCCTGAGCTGCACTTTTTTCTTCTCTCTCTAATTGTTTGAGTGACTTAAACCCGGCCCATACCGACACGCCTTACACAGCCGTTCCCTGCTGTTTCTGCAATAAATGATGAAAAATCTTTCCCCCCTTCTCCCTTTTCCGGTCTCATTCAAGATGGATTACATGATGGATTCTCCCCCTTGTCAGGGTTTTTGTTTTCGTTCTGCGTTAATTTTTTTTTGTTCTAACTGCGTCGGTCTCATCTACTCAAGTTTGCCATTATTATTCTCTCTATGGTGTCGAAGAAAGGAAAATAAGAAAACCGTCACAAAGGGAGTTGAAAGCCCTTCCCGTTGCGCCTTGCGCCGACTGACCCGACGCCTCCACAGGGAGCACCTCCATAGTTTCCTCCAGACGCGACCCTGTCGCGCCCATCAGCCCTAAACCGGGCCGACCGGGCCGGCACTTCGGCGCGCTGCATTTTTCGCCAGGCACCGCGAGGAACAAAGACGAAAACAAAAACAGCAAGATCCAGTTGCAAAAGAGGCGCGCTGCGCTGCGTTGGGGGAATTCCCCGGCCAAGTTTCGGCTGCCTGTTTCCAGTGTGGTGACTGGCTCGCCGGTGACTCCAGGTGGCGAAAAAGAAGAGAGCGAGAGAGAGAGAGAGAGAGAGAGAGAGAGAGAGAAGAGGGGGGGGGGAAACGGTGAAAAAAAAATCGAAAGCGGTTGGCAGTGCGGGGTCGCCCCAACTTAGACTCTCGGGTAGCGAAGAAGGCCATAATGATGGAGGAGACGAAAATCAAGCTCGGGGAAGGAGGGGTGGTCTACTGCTCATTTGCACGGGGACCCGCCACCACCACCGCCACCACCACCGCCGCCGTTCCCGAGAGCAGTGCAATACAGAGACAGAGAGATCGTCAAACCAGGCGGGGACCACTTGCCGTTGTTAGCTAAGCCCCCAGTTCCAGCCCGGGCCCGGGCCGCCCGGCGGAGAGAACCTCCCTTGTGGTCTACAGCGTTCGGCACTGTGTTCCACTGTGTTCCACTGTGCTCGCGGCTGGTGAGGCGGAAGCACATCACCGCCAACATCACCATCACCACCACCACTGCCGTCGCCACGACGACTAGGTCGCCGTGCATTTAACTTGCTGCCTCTCCGACCGCGCCACGCCACTCTAGACGACGGCAATCTCAACGGAACCACGCGTCTCTCTCGCACCCCTACGCGCCCCGCGTCTCGCCCCGCGTCTCGCCCCGCGCGCGAGACAGAGAGACGGCCCAACCTTTTAGCGTGGGAGGAAGGATCTTCCTTCCCTTTGAATAACCTCATCATTTATTCGCAAACCGCGCCGTGACGCACTCGCCTGCAGTGTGGGCGGCAAGGCACACTGCGGCACGTGACACGCAGTGACACGCAGTGACACACCAGCGGGGAAGTGCGCCGGGCAAAAAAAGCAGCAACACGCCGGATGTGTGTGTTGAATTTATACCACCGCACAACGAGCATCTGGCAGACCCACGCGCGCGCGCACACACACGTCACCACACATGCAACCTTAAAGTCTCCCTCTCACACACGGAGTCACTCACTCACACACACGCACACACTTTTGGCCGCTCGCCGCTTCGCCGCCACGCGGCTCAAATCGCATTCCACGGCCCGACGACCGCCTGTGGAAACCGACGCCTAGGTCCGCCTTTGCGCCCCCTCCCCCTTCCCACCACTTTGTCCGGGCGCGTGTCGGCAAGTGAAGTGCCCAGGGGCGGGCTTGGCGGAGGGGGGTCTGGAGGGCAGGGCGACGGCGCGGGCCCGGGGCCACGCTCTCGGAGTCGGAGAAGTGGCGAAGGGCAGGCCAAGCCAAGCCAGCGGCGTGCTCCTGTATGGCGGAGAGGGGCCGGGGCCTCCAGAGGGCCCCCACGGCGGGGCCCGGCCAT